ACTGAGGCCCCAGTGGGTCCAGAAGGTGGGACTATCACCCCAGTGGTCCTGGAGGGCAGAGCACTGAACCAAAAAGAATTATTCTTGTGCCTTAAAATCTCATGGAATCTGCCTTGCTAAGTTTTGGACTTGCTCAGGGCCTACCATCCTTTCTTCCTTCCAATCTCCCCTTTTTGGAATTGGAATGTGTGAGATAATAGAACATATCTAGTTGTCCCTCAGTATCCACAGGGGATAGGTTCCAGTGTGCCCACAGATACCAAAATCCACAGATGTTCAAGTCCCTTAGCCAGCCCTCCGTATCTGTGGGTTCTGCATCCCTGAATTCAACCAACTGCATAGACATGCTCCGTGATTGGTTGAATCTGCAAATGCAGAACCCGTGGATACAGAGGGCTGACTGTATTGGTCTCTGTCCCTGGTTCCTTGCACAGAGCTCTTGAAACCCTTGTAATTTCCTAGGTGATAAGAGCACTAGGAGCATCTTTTGTTCTAATATTTGGTGTTTGGCCCTGCTTCTTGACACAGGGCTCGTGAAACCCTTGTAATTTCCTGGGTGATAGGACTGTCTTCTGTTCTATTGAGGTGACTCTAGGTGGGCTCCTGGATGAAGGCTGATCACTGGAAAGATTAAGCCATGATTAAAGCTTGGAATTTTCAGCCCTGCCCCCGCCCCCCATTCTCTTAAGAAGGTCTGGGAAAGCAGTTAATGACTGATCATGCCTACGTGATGAAGCCTCCATAAAAATCCCAAAAGTAAGTGGTTCAGAAAGCTTCCAGGCGGGTGAACACATCCTTGTACCTGGTGACGCACCCCAACCCTGCAGGGACAGAAGCTCCTGTGCTTGGGACTCTCCCAGACCTCGCTTTATGTATCTCCTCATCTGGCTGTTCATCTGTATCCTTTAATGATAAACTGGTAAACATAACTAAACTGTTTTCCTGAGTTCTGTGAGCCACTCTAGCAAATTAACCAAACCCAAGGAGGGGGTCGTTGGAACCTCTGATCTACAGCTGCTTGGTCAGAAGCACAGGCCTGCAACTGGCGTCTGAAAGAGGCATCCCAATGAGCCCTTAACTGTGGGCTCTGATGTCACCTCCAGGCAGATAGTATCAGAATTGAGTTAAATTGTAGGACACCCAGCTGGTGTCGCAGAGAATTGCTTGGTGTGGGGAAAAAAATCCCACACATTTGGTGACCAGAAGTGAAGTGTTACGTGTGAATAGTAAAGGAGACACACAGGAGGCAAGAACTGTAGGTTTTTTCAACATAGACTGTCTATCCTGTAACTGACCCACCCTTGTATTTTGGAAGCATATAACTTGTCTGGTTTCAGATTCAAAGCTAGGGAAGAATTTTGCCTCAAGATTAATCATAGCTCAAGTCTCACCCATATCTGACTTAGATGATATTTAGATGAGACTTTGGACTTTCAGACTTTAAGAGTTAATGCTGAACCAGAGTTAAGACTTTTTGGGCTACTGGGATGAAATGAATGTATCTTGCATGTGAGGACATGAATTTGGGGGAGCCAGAGGCAGAACTGATGGATCAAATGTTTGTCTCCTCAAAATTCATGTCAAAGCTCTAATCCCCAGTGTGCAGGTATGTAGAGGGAAGGCCTTTGGGAAGTAACTAGGTTGATCAGGTTATGTGGGTAGGGTACCCGTTATGGGATTAATGCCCTTATTAGAAAAGGAAGAGACAGACAGCTGCTCTCTTTCCTCACAATATGAGAATATAGCAAGAAGGTGGCTGTCTGCCAGCCAGAAAGACGATCCTCACCAGAACCTGACCATGCCGCCAACCTGATCTTGGATTCCCAGCCTCCAAAACTGTGAGGAATAAATGTCTCTTGTTTAAGCCACCCAGTCTATGGTATTTTGTTATAGTAATCCAAACTAAGACAGTTGCTAAAGCTATGTCCCTCCCAAGCCCCTCCCTCGCAACAAAAGGATCAGGCCCAGTTACATTTAGCCTTCAAAGAATAATTCCCACATTATGCAAACTCTTCCACAGTAATAAAAGAGAAAGAAAAGTTCCAAACTCATTTTGCAAAGCAAATTGAATCTAGTTCTGTACTTAAAAAAAAAAAACCACCATGAGCAAATGGATTTTATTCCAAGAATGTAAGGAACTTTCAATTGTTCGACAACTTTCAATAAAATGAATTTCAAAAATAAATATAACCTGTAAAATTACACCAACAGACTTTTAAAAAATTCGATAGAACTTAGCATCCATTCCTAATAAAAGCTCTAACAATAATTGCTAGTGTACTACGTGCCAAGCGTTGTTTTAAGTGCCTTACACTTATATTAACTAATTTTATCCTCACAGCCCCATGAGGTAGAACCATTTTATAGATGGAAGAACTGAGACAGAGGAAGCTAAGTGACTTGCCCAGGATCACAAACCTAAGAAAGTGGTGGAGTGAGGATTTGAACCTAGAGTGCTAGGCACAAAATCTGTGTTCTTAACCACTTAGATACCATATTGCTTCTTCTAAAAATAGAGATAGAAGGAAACTTCCTAAACACAATAGAATATTTATCAGAAACCAGCGAGGTGAACATCATATAAAACCGTGAGATGCTAAAAACATTTCTCCTGAAAGTTAGGAACAAGACATGCAACACCTGTTATCCACCATTCGATCTTTCTTGCTAATGCATGACGTAAGTGGCATACAGAATGGCCATTAAGAGAAGACTAATCATTATTTATTGTATACCTACAAAAGCTAGGAAATGAAACTAAAAAAACTACTAAAACTAAAAATAATTTAGCAAGATAACCAGATCCAGATAAAGTTTTTAAAAATCAATAATTTTTTTGACACTACGAATAACCAATAGAAATTGAGGTGTGGCTTTCACCTGTAGCCCTTTTTCCTCCATCCAAGAGCCTAAGTGCTTTTTCAGGAAGTGAAGACATTCATTTCTACCGAGCACCCACCAGACTGCTAGTGGTGGGTAACAGTCATGAATAGTGCTGGATCTGCCACTACAGAGACTTAGTGTGGCAGGGAATGAGGGGACAAGAACCAGAAGATAAAATTACAGCATCTAACAGGCCGGGGGTTCTACTGATGACATGACCAGTAATGTCCAAATTAGGGTGGACGGATGGACCCAGGTGCTCATAATGGGGGTTGGGCTCTTCCCTGGGATCTGAGAGCTCCCAAAGTAAAACACTTAAAAAAAGAAAGTCCTACGTGCATATCTTGTAAAGAAAAATGCAAATAAACACCAAATATATAGCTGTAACAGAAATTTAATTGAAAATACATATTCACAAATGGCAAATTTCCAGTCCTGTCCTTGGTTCAGCAATTCTTTAGGCCCCCAATAAACATTCTTTCTAACAATGTCTGAGATGCTTCCCCCAGAATCACATCTAATTGTTATTTTCCTGAGCCTCAACTCTCTTTCCTTTTTTCTCTATTATCTGAGACATAAATCACACACCTCACAAAAATCTCTCCCCTCCAAGTTACATACCTGACATTCCCCCTCTAACCTGCTCCCCCACCTCTGCCATACTGCCAATCTTCTTGTATTGCTAAGAGGAAGGGGGAAGACACCAAAGGGGTCCTACTGCAAGGGTGAAAGGAAAAAGTTGTTCAAGCTTATGTCTGATATGTGACTGTTGAAGGAGAGGAAATCCTCTGAAACGTTTTCCTGTTTCTTATGCCTTTGACGAATGAAAGATGGCCCAGAAGATAATTACAAAAATTAAGGGTACATCTCTCACCTTGAAGTTAGTATCGAACTAACTGATAAGGAAATCCGATTAGTTTGACTCTGTCTTGCCACAATCCTCATCGTTGTGAATTCCAATCATCCAAGAACGCTTCGAACTGGAATTCTGAATCATCTTTGCCACAGCCACAAAAGTCAAGTCTTCTTTACGGTAAATTTTGACACTGTTCTTGTTTACTTAGGCGGAGGGTGGAGTCAGCTAGTTCAGAACTGAAATCAGTGTGCAGGGCAAAGTATATATCAGTGGAACACAAGTGCCAACTCCAATACCTAGATACATACATACATACATACCCACGTGCTCAAACACAAATCCATTAGCTCCCTGAGGCTGAAGTAAGAGCAGGAAGACTCCCAGGGATAGATGTAGAAGACATAAGTGAGGCCTTTGTATGTGATATTCTATGATATCCATCTTTAGAAGTTTTAAGTTGGGTGGTGGGATGGGAGTTCATGCCCACTTTAGGAATGACTCAGTTGGAGAAGTGAGTTTTAAAAACTTATTTAACAACTAGTATATGCAAAGTATTATCTTCATGCTAAAAGAAATAGATACCATACCCAGCCACAAAGCACCTACATTAAATTGGTATGAAAGTACACACATATGCATTAAGTTGAGAATAACTGACAAGGAAATTTAGTAACAATTGAAAATTGTAGCACAGGCTAATTTGAAGCATTGAGGTCATATCAACAGAAATTTAGGAGGAAGAAGCATTTCGGGAAAAAAGTCTTTCAGAGTTGAACTGGATCTTAAAGGTTCTGAGGGACATAGATTAGCAAACGGGAAGAAAAGGTTTTCTAGGGAGGGAACACAAGTGATGAGGGTCTAGATTAGAGGAGAAGCTTCAAAAGTAGATAAGGAGGGCCACAGCCAAGACAAAGGAAAGAATGTAATAACAGTCTTGGAGAATGACTTTATGTAAATGGTCAAACGGATTACCTGAAACAGAAAAAGATATGATCTCTGTCCTTGAGAAGCACACAGTCTGATTATGGGCTACATAACTAAGAAATGAGATAGATTTTAAATAAAAAAAAGACAGAAAGAAAGAAGGAAACCTACAAATACATGAAATGTGTATTCCTAACTTCTCCAACACCGGGGAAGGATTATACTGTTTCTCTCTCTCTCCTACCTTTGTGACCCAGCAGAAAGCATTTAGGGAATGGGCCACTTCAATTAGTGGTTCCAAGAGGACACCAGGGTGAGCATCCAGACCAGAGTGAGCATCCTTCTTATAAAGAAAGCTTAATTCAAAGTTCTTGGCTCTTTGTCTTGGAGATTTATACCTTAAGAAACTGACTGAGCCACAGCTGAGTGCTTCTCTCCAGTGTGAGTTCGCTGGTGGTGATTGAAAGTGGAACGCTGACTGAAAGCTTTCCCACACTCAATACATTCATAGGGTTTCTCCCCAGTGTGAACTCTCTGGTGCACAGTAAGCTGTGAGCTGTCACTGAAGGCTTTCCCACACTCATTGCACTTATAAGGTTTCTCCCCAGTATGGGTTCTCTGATGTACCATAAGACTAGAATTATGACTGAAGACCTTCCCACATTCATTACATTCATAAGGTTTCTCACCAGTGTGAATTCTCTGGTGTATAATGAGGTATGAATTTTGATTGAAGGATTTTCCACATTCATTGCATTTAAAGGGCTTTTCACCTGTGTGAAGTCTCTGATGTCGAATAAGACACTTACTCAGACTGAATGCTTTACCACACTCATTACATTCAAAAGGTTTTTCTCCAGTATGAATTCGCTCATGGTCAACAAGTTGAGAGATCTGACTGAAAGCTTTCCCACACTCGCTACATTTGTATGGTTTTTCCCCAGTGTGGAGGCTCTGATGTCGAATAAGACATTTACTCCGACTGAAGGCCTTGCCACATTCATTACACTCATAAGGCTTCTCCCCAGTGTGGATTCTCTGATGGTCAATAAGATTTCTATTAGAACAGAAAGCTTTCCCACACTCATTACACTTGTAGGGTTTCTTACCAGTGTGAAGTACCTGGTGTCGGACAAGATTTTTACTCCGACTAAAGGCTGCTCCACACTCACTGCATTCATAAGGTTTCTCCCCAGTATGAGTTCTTTGGTGATCAAACAGTTTGGAACTCTCATTGAAAGCTTTTCCACATTCATTACATTTATAAGGTTTCTCCCCATTATGGAGTCTCTGGTGTTGAATGAGATGCGAGCTGTGTCGATAGGTCTTTCCACACTCGTTGCATTCATAGGGCTTTTCCCCTGTGTGGGTTCTGAGATGAACTATGAGCTGAGAGGTCTGCCTGAAAGTCTTACCACACTCATTACACTCATAGGGTTTCTCCCCAGTGTGGATTCTCTGATGCCCAATGAGGTGTGAACTCCAATTAAAAGTTTTGCCACATTCATCACATTGATAGAATTTCTGTCCCTTCAGAACTCCTTGATGTTCCTCAGGACAGGAAGACACATTCAGACGTTCTCCAAGTTCCTTATATTTATTACACCCATCTTTTGTAGATGTATTTTTATTCTTATGTGTTATTTCCAAGAAATCACTTTCCAGTCGGCTCCCTTCCTCATCTGAGTGTTGCCCTTCTAGCTTCTCTAAAGCATCTTCACAGACATCTCCAGCTTCTGGTCCACCAGGAACCACTCCATAAAGTCCTCCCGACATCCTATCAGATGACTCCAATCTTTTAGAAATTTCCTGCTTTGTAGGCAACTCTGAACTCTCCATCCTGTTCCCACCTGCTGCCAAAAAAAAGAATAAAATTTTTATTCATTTTTTGTTCAACTGAGGAAACAGAATCATCAGTAGTCTGTGTACCCGAAAAAAATTTCATATTACAGGCAAAGAATGAGGTGACACATTGAGAAGGAGAAAAATGGGAAATAGCTCAAATTTTTCTTCATGGACCGAAAGATGAAGAGGGGAAACATGGTTAGTGGAAGAGGTTGGAGGAAGAGCTCTCAGGACAGACAAATGTTGAGCTAGCACAGTCAAGAGAGCAGGGCAAATGGAAAGCAAGAGACCAGATTGTAAAGCATGGTGTGATCTTTCAGAAGTCACTTAGAAGCCAGGTCTCCTTAGTAAAATAATGAACTCTAAGGTCCTTTGCAACCAAGACATTGTACGGTTCCATAATTCTCAACAAAGATATTGAGAGAGAGAGTGGTGGCAAATACCTCAAACCAAACATGAGAAACAGTGTGGGCAAACATGATAAGGAAAAAGGGTACAAAAGGAGTGATTCTGATATGACAGGTCAGTGACAAGATCTGGAGAAGCCATGGGTTAACAAATGCTGGGGAAAAGTATTGAAGGGGAGAGCAGAGCTCTACAAGTGGGGATCCCTCAGTCCCTGGAGCAATGGACTGGTAGGAACCAGTACTGTACTCCTATCAATAATTAGAAATATAGGGGGCCAGCCCAGTGGTGCAAGTGGTTAAGTGCACGCACTCCACTTCAGCGGCCTGGGTTCGCAGGTTCAGATCCCCGGCGTGCACCGATGCACCGCTTATCAAGCCATGCTGTGGCGGCATCCCATATAAAGTGGAGGAAGATGGGCACGATGTGAGCCCAGGGCCAGTCTTTCTCAGCAAAAAAAGAGGAGAATTGGCAGATGTTAGCACAGGGCTGATCTTCCTCACACAAAAAAATAATCATAATTTGAAATATAAATCAATTGTCTTTGGCATCTTGATAATCTAGAATCATAAGGAAACTAACAAATACTTGCTTTTGAATTCTGGAATTGTTGAATATATACATATATATATTTTTTTGTGTGAGGAAGATCAGCCCTGAGCTAACATCCAGGCTAATCCTCCTCCTTTTGCTGAGGAAGACCGGTTCTGAGCTAACATCTATTGCCAATCCTCCTCCCTTTTTTTCCCCCCAAAGCTCTAGTAGATAGTTGTATGTCCAAGTTGCACATCCTTCTAGCTGCTGTATGTGGGACGTGGCATAAGCATGGCCGGAGAAGCAGTGCATCGGTGCGTGCCCGGGATCTGAACCCGGGAGGGCAGTGGCAGAGCGCGCGCACTTAACCGCTAAGCCACGGGGGCGGCCCAGGAATTGCTGAATATAAAAGCTGGAAGGAGGGGCCAGCCCAGTGGCGCAAGCGGTTAAGTGCATGCGCTCCGCTGCGGCAGCCCGGGGTTCGCCGGTTCAGATCCCGGGCGCACAACGACGCACTGCTTGGCAAGCCATGCTGTGGCAGTGTCCCATATAAAGTGGAGGAAGATGGGCACGGATGTTAGCCCAGGGTCAGTCTTCCTCAGCAAAAAAAGAGAAGGATTGGCAGATGTTAGCACAGGGCTGATCTCCTCACAAAAAAATAAATAAATAAAAGCTGGGAGGAGGTAGAGCAATCCTGGTCATAGCTAAACACAAAATGCTGGTTCCTTTCAATCACATCTTAACCAGGACTACAAACAATCATGCTACTTTAGTATGTTCGAGTTGTAGATGTCTGGGACTCCGAAGCCCACTCTCTCCAGAATAGGCTACTGTCCTAGACCTGTCAATCACGAAAACTGCCCCGACAACAAACCCCTTCCAGGAAGCTGCCCTGCGCCCTGCCCTGGTCTTTCTTGAAGAGGAAGCTGAGGCAACCACGCTTTGTGCCAAGCAACCGAGCTCATCCCATGACGGATGACAGGTGACTGGACCAGGGTCAAGCACAAGACCAAAGTGTAGCTTTTCTCTAGATGAGTCATTAGCCTCTGCTGTGGCCTGGGCCAAAGTTCTGCCCAAACAGATGATATTTAATGGCTGAACCACCCTTGGAGTCCCTCTCTAAGTAAATTCTGAACTGCAAGCAGGGCAAAATGAAGAGAATTACAAGTAGGAGCTCAAGCTGAAATGATGCATGAAGAGAAGCCAAGCCATGGGGAGCCACAGCAAGCAGAAAGTATGAGGGAACAGAAAATCTAATTAAGAAGGAGCTGTGAGGGGACAAAAGATTCAGAGTGAAGAGAGTGGGTAGCAGCGGTAGAAGACAACAGATATTCAGGGAGCAGCTGCATCGCATGCCCAGTGCAACACTAGCCTAATTCATTGGCTGTTGCTGCTGAGGCTCCTCAGCTGCCCTGGGTCAAGGCTCAGTCTCCACAAGGCCCTGTTTCCCAAAGTCTGGTCTAGCTGGTCGGTTTGTTCTGAGTTTCCATTTCTTTAGCCTTATTGTAAGTAACACAGCTCATCAATTACAATAACTTGAGTCGCTCTCTCTTCCTTACAACTACAAACTCTAACTAAACCACCCTAGGTCAACTAATAAGGAAGAAAGAGAATGTTGATAACTGTTAAAGCTGGGTGATGGTGCAGAAAGGTTCATCATACTATTCTCCCTACTTTGTCTATGCTTGCCATTCTTCACAATAAGAGTTACAAAAGAAAAAGAATACAGCAAACAACATGCAAACAGTGCAGACTCTAAGTTACTGGGGAACAGAATCATTACCCAGGGAGGCCATGCTGCAGTAATTTTCTGGCATGACGTTCTGGTACAGGGCTCTCTGAATGACTGCTGGAACACTCCACTTTTTCTGAGTATAGTCCACACACAGGAACTCGTACGCTGAAGATTCCTGGAATGACAAGCTTCTATTGCTCAGGATATTCCCAGCCTGAAGGGCAGAGCCATCAGGGGTACTGAGAGCACTGGGCGAGGGTCCTGGTGGGGAAAGCAGGGGCAGAGGGAGAGAAGCTAGGATGACACATCTAAAAGGACAAGACCAGGGCAAGATAGAGTCCATGAACTCAGCAGGCAGGATCAGCTCCAGTGAAAGCAATTAGGCAGGGAAGCCACCTCAGAATGGGCCAGAGCCCTGGGGCTGAGCTCTAGCTATTCCTGGGCCACAGACCTGGGAACTCAGGAAAAAGAGAAAGAACCAAGCTCACCTGGGGCCTGAGCATCTGAAGCCCAGTTGCCACTGCTTGGTCTCCTAAGTTCCCTCCCTGGGGAAGGACAGGCACTGGGGAAGCATGTTGAGCTGAGGGAGGAAAGAAAGCTATGAGTGGGACAAGCCCTGCCCTTGGCTCCAGTAAGATCTGTATCCCACTGAGTGGATCAAGAGAACCCAGGCAGCTCCATGCACACTGGCTCTCATCCCCTTTCCATAAAGGCTTTATCCTATGTGTGCTGTGAACTCACCCTGGAGGGCACAGTAGAAGGTCCCTGGTCACACTGACAACTGGCAAGCCCTCACTCTCTTCAACCTCTCTGAAGGAAGCCATACTTCTTTTTTTATTTTTTTTTTCCAGTGAGGATGATTGTCCCTGAGCTAACATCTGTTACCAATCTTCCTCTTTTTGCTTGAGGAAGACTGTCCCTGAGCTAACATTTGTGTCAACCTTTCTCTATTTTTTAATGTGGGACACCACCACAGCATGGCTTGATGAGCGGTGTGTAGGCTCGCGCCCAGGATCCAAACCCGCAAACCCCAGGCAGCCGAAGCAGGGCGTGCAAACACTACGCCACCAGGCCGGCCCCAGGAAGCTATACTTCTGACCACTTCTCTCTCCCATGGCTTCCCTAGTACCAGCCTAGCCTGATCTCCACCTCACATCTCTGACCCCTCATTCTCTGGTTTCTTTTCCTTCTCCTGCCCTCTCATTATGGACACTCCAGGCAGTCAGGCCTCAGGGCTTCCCTTCTCTCTGTCAGAGATCTCACTGACTCTCATTGCTCTAATGCTGCTCTCACAGTTCCTAGTTCTCTTCTCCACCTCTATCACAAGCTTCCAGTTGCCTCCTGGACATTTCACCTGGTATTCCACACTACCATAAATTCAGTGTCAAAAATGCGTGTTGTTACTGTTTTTCTTTCCTTTCTTCTCAAGTTCTGTCAATGACTCCAGACACTGGTCAAAACCTCTTATTCCCTCTCCTTTCTTCAAATACACATAGAATAGATATTCCCCAAATTGATCTTCAGATTCAACACAATCCCTATCGGAAGCCCAGCTGGCTTCCTTGTCAAAATTGACAAGCTGAGAATAAAACTGATATGGAAACTCAAGAGTTCCAGCACAGCCAAATGAAACATGAAAAATAAAAATAAGCTGGAGGACTCAGACTTCCCAATTTCTAAACTTACTTTACAAAGCAGCATTCATCAAGACACTCTGGTGCTGGCATAAGGAAAAACACATATCAATGAAATCAAATAAGAGTTCAGAAACAAACCCATACACCTACAGTCAACTTACTTTTGATGAAGGTCCCAAGACCACACAAAGGGGAAAAAATAGACTTTTCAACAACTGGTGCTGGGACAAGTGGATATACAGTACAAACGAATGAAGTTGGACCCCTACCTCAGATCATATATGAAAACTATATGGACAACAGGTCCTGGCACCTGTTGCAAAGCAGCCCATTACTCCACACACCAAGTCACAGACGATGGTCGCCTTCCCCTGAGACCGGGGCACCCTCTGTCTCCCACCACTGTTAACCAAATTTGAAGGAATCACAACCTTCACCCAGAAGCCATCATCTCCTACGTTTGCTACAAACATCTGGACTCAGCAAGTGCTGCTGGGACTGACAAAAAAGAGATGACTGTAAACTGAGATGGGAAGAAGAAAGCACCAGCTTCCATCATCCAGCTAAAAGAAACTGCAGTCCTGCCCCAAGGGCATGAAGAGTCAAGTGAAGCACTACACTAGGGACCATGAGTCTGAGGAGGCTGCCCTAGTCCGGGCAGACAGAAGAAGCCTTGCTGTGAGAACAGGGGAACAGAGGAAGAAGAAGTATTCAGAGAAAGCAAAAGCAAAGGAGAATCAGAGAAGTGATAAAGTAAATCACTGAAGGCCTAAAAAAGAGACTTGAAGACACAACCACAAAAGAAGGCTGAAGAGGAAAGCATGCTTTAGGAGCCAGAGGGGCAGGCTCCAGCCTTGCTGAGCTCCAGCAGCACAAACAGGGAGAAGAAAACTGCTCAGGAGGAAGTTGAACGTCAGAGAGGGAGAGAGACTTCCACACACAAACTGGCACAACAGACTGGAGAAGAGAAAGAAAACTGAAGTGTGAAAAGAACTAGAATGCTGCTAAGGGTGAAGACAAATCTGGCAGTGAGCTTCAAGAGAATGAACTGGAGGCCACAGAGAAATATTCTGAAGAAATGCACACAGTCGGAAATATAAATGGCATCCACCTATCTCAGGAAATTGAGACCCACAGTGAAAGTAGCACCAAAAATGAGCCTCCAAGCTGGTCTGTTCTGAAGCAGCTGTGGCAGAAATGTCCAAAGAGGTCACTGAAGTATTTGTAAAGAGGTGGTGACAAGATTGACACAGAAAAATGAGGGTGACTGCCTGTGAATATGCCACAAGATTCCAGGCCTTCAATCAAAGAAAGGGTGAGCCCGGCCTCTGCAACCATGAACATGGATAAGGCTGAAGACCTCCTGGGCCTTTCAAGCTCTGAATGAAAGACCCAGAGCAAAGGAAAGAGATGGGGGCCCGTCAGCTGAAACTGCCCAATTAAATTCAGGTCTCCTAATGCCTCAGGTTCCTCCAGAGTCCCAGCTAGCTTTTGAGGACTGAAAAAAAGGTTCATTCATCAACTTGTTAAGATGATACCACAGATGTGAGCCCCCAGGCCTGGGGAGCAACCTGAGCTGGATCAGGCCTCTTCTCCAGACCCTCCTTCATGCCTCAACCCAGTTCATTCCCACAATGAAAATGGCTTTGAAAAGAACAGGGAAAATCCCAAGCGATCATCTGGGCATTTTTCAGGGACATTTTCTTCTTTCTGTCATTTTCCTCCTTCATTTCACATGCAATGTAATTTTATTTGTTTTCCTTTTTAAATCCTCATTAAGTAGTCTCTTATTCTCATGGTCTCCCTACCAGTGTCAGGGGACATAAGTTTTACTCCATACACCGATAATAAGCAAACAAGTTTCCAACACAATTGCTACTGAAGGAAGATTGCTTCCAGTACGTTTTAAAAACGTTAACATAATACTTATACCAATAGTTCAACTAAGAAATAAGCTCAAATCTAGTACCCAAAACTTGCTTTCTAAATACCATTCTCAATTAAAAGGCTCCTTGGAGAAGTGGTTGATTCCAGGCCTGAAGGAGGGAAAATACAAGACGACTATTTCGTGGTGCCTAAAACTCAGGGAAAGACACAAAAAAGGACGGGGCCATGTCAAGGGGAAACAGGAGCCAAGCTGAAAGAGCTCCCGATGGCCAAAGCTACAATAATTGAAACAACAAAATAAATAACAATAGCACTGCATTATAGCCCAAAGAATAAACACCCAACATCACAGTCTGATATCACTAATTGAATAAATAAACAAAAGGGGGAGAAGGCCTCCCTGTCTGCCTCACAACTCTGCCTCACAAAGAATTCCAGTTCATAAATGTAGAAGGAATGACAGAAATGAAAGGCACCATTAGAACCTCACAGTAATAATTGCTGCAGGCAAGATCGACCAAGGAATGCTAATTAGTGGGTGAAAGTTAAGGAGAAACAGGCTATTTCTATGCAAAGTCTCGAAATACCTTCCCCTAAATAACTACTAATTACAAAGGGAAAGACAGTAACTTGACAGTGGTGACACCTGGCAGACACCACTGGATCAAGATTACCATCACCAGTAATAAGACATATCTCTATCATCCTCAATCCAAGCAGAACATCTGACAAAACCAAACTGAGGTCATTCTAAAAATACAAATACAAAATACTTCAAAAGTGTCAAGGTCACGTAAAACAAGGCAAGACTGAAGAATTGTCACCGACTGAAGAATAAGGAGACATGACAACTAAATGGAATGAGGGATCTAGATTGGATCCTGGAACAGAAAAAGGACATTAGCAAGATACTGAAGAAGTCTGGATAAAGTCAGCAGTTTAACTAATAGTTGGTATCACTGTAAATTTCTTAACTTTGATGATTGTACTATGGTTATGCAAGATATTAACTTTAGGCAAACTGGGTAAAGAGTATAAGGGAACTCTGTACAGATCTGCAACCCTCTCTAAGTCTGTAATTATTCAAAATAAAAAGTTTTTTAAATTGAAAAAGTTTTTGGGGCCGGCCCAGTGGCGTAGAGGTTAAGTGCTCGCGCTCCGCTGCTGGTGGCCCGGGGTTCCAATCCCCGGCGCGCACTGACACATCGCTTGTCAGGCCATGCTGTGGCGGCATCCCACATAAAATAGCAGAAGATGGGCATGGATGTTAGCTCAGGGCCAGTCCTCCTCAGCAAAAAGAGGAGGACTGGCATGGATGTTAGCTCAGGGCTGATCTTCCTCAAAAAAAAAAAAATTCAAAAAGTTTGAGTTATCATTTTTTTTCTGATTTATTTCTATCTAGATATTAAGGATTAACTTGGCCATCAAGGCTATTAAACACTGTCAACTCTCATCTCCAATCTGGATTCATTCTTTCATTAATTTATCAAATATTTATTGAGCACCTACTATATCCTAGGCACTAAGGTATCAGAGGTGAATAAGGCAGACAAAAAGCACCACTTTGAGGAGCTTATGGGAAGGCAGACAATGAAATAAATAAAACATATGGCATGTTAGACAGCAACAGGTACCATGTAGTATAATAAAACAAGGAGGAGGGTGAGAGATCAGGGAAGGAAAAGTATAAGCTCAAAAATTCAATCTTGTAGAGCACATAAGGGTTCACCTGAGGGAGCTCTTTCAGATTGTTTCTGACATAAAAATACAGATAGTCCCCAAGTTATGACAGTCTGACATTTGATTTTTCGATTTTATGATGGTGCAAATGTGATATGCATTCAGTAGAAAACATACCCAGAATTTTGAATTTTGATCTTCTCTGGGGCTAGTGATATGCAGTATGATACTCCCTCCTGATGCTGGGTGGGACAGCGAGCCGCAGCTCCAAGTCAACCACTCAATCACAAGGGTAAATAACCAATACACTTACGACCATTTTGTACCCATACAATCCTTCTGTTTTTCACTTTCACTACCGTATTCAAT